CAACTCAGTGCTCACTCACGAGTTTTCAGGTATCCTCAGCTGGGGGAGCAGGTAATTATGCATGGCTCTTACACTAACTTCTGTTATCTAAGAACCTTTATCCAATGTTGGTCTGCAGGGTCAAGTTAGGATTTGCTACTGCCATTGCTTTTTTCCTCAACATTCTCAGCTCTGGAACACGTGCAAAGCTACCTCCTCCTTCATGCAAGACCCCGTGGTCTTTCTGTCTCCATTCCCACCCACTGTTTTATCTGATGAGGTCTCACCTCCCAGGAGACACTGGTGTCGCCTAATGTGCTCCTACTTCCTGTCATTTCCTCTTCTTGGAGGACCACTCCAATAAATGGATCAATAAATGTAAAAAGAGAGGTATTAATTAGGAGAAGGAAAAGATGTATTTTGACCACATTAGAAAGTGGAGCCTGTAGTAGTAAGGGAAAAGTGGCTGCCCAGTTTTCTGCTCAGAGGAGTTGCAGAATTTCTGTGGCCTGGGCAGACCTTAGAGGAGGAACTATCTTTCAACCTTGAATATTCATCCTAAATCCAACAGTACAACTTGCTTCAGGCATCAACTGAGTTCTCTACAACTCAGTGGTTGTAGAGAAGTGCCTGTCAGTCTCCAAATGGCTGCCAATCCCAGTGCTCAGAACATTCCACCCTCTACTCCCTATCTTCTCATAGGTATTTTGAGGGAAGACTGAGTCCGGAGCGCAAGGCAAGAAATCCTTTCAAATAAAATGACTGCTCATCTGTTTTAAGTTGCAGCCCAGTTGAATGTTAATGAGTTGAGGCAAGGCCAGGGAAACCTTAGATGTTATTAGCAGATGTGCTCCCCCAAAGTGGGTTAGATTGTAGGACGTAAGCCAGGCAAGACCATGAAGGGACTGAGCCAAGAGGGGCACTTAACTGGCAGGGAGCAGAATTAGAGACAACATAGGAGAAGAAGCAGAGGGCTAGGGAGTGGGTCAACAACAAGATATCAAGTAGAGACAAGAATGGGGAAAAATCTAGTCTACTCCCTTAGGAGTAGGGGAAGTGAGAGGAGGAGAGTGGTAAAGCCATAAACACAGAAACCAGAGCAAAAACATGGGTGAATGGGGTTATCATTAATAACAAACACTAAGTGGGATGGCTGAGTGTCTCAATCAGTAGAGTAGCTGACTCAGGTCAGCTCAGGTCACAATCTCAGATCACAATCTCAGGTCCTGGGATTGGAGCCGTCGTAGGGCTCCACGCTCGGTGAGGAATCTCTCTCTCTTCTGCTGCTCCCTGCCCCCCACCACCCACAAGTGCATGCATGCTCCCTCATCTCTCAAAAAAAAAATTAATTAATTAAGGAATGCAAAGTCTGAGTGATGCCCAGGGGCTGGCAGTATCTGGGCTGCATGTCTAAGTAAGCACTAGGCTACTGGAGATGCTCTGTTGAGTATGGTGGGTGCTAGTGCTCTATATGTGCTGTACTCACCTCGGTACTGAGATGCCCAGACCATTCCTTCTGCACACATGGTATCCAGCAGGCAGTCGGCAATGCTGTCAGCAAGCAGAGTGGACAGGCCAGGATTTGTCAGCAGTAGGAAGGAAATAGTCCAGTCTTCAGAAGTCTGGCTGGCAAGAGAGTGGGAGGGAGAGAGGAAGGAAGGAAGAGAGAGAAAGAGGGAGGAAGGGAGAGGGGGGAAAAGGGATATCAGATAACAAGAGGAGAAGAAGGGAGAGGAGAGGACAGGAGAGGAAAAAGAACCAGTTTATATAAATCTGGACATCTCCTTCCTCTACTGAAAATCGTCTAACACCCAACTGTTGGTTGGTACCAGTAGTCATCTCTGCCTTTTTCCCATTTGGCAGAGCCCTGATTTTTGTTCTCTTGTCCATGTGTACCTCCCATGACTCAGGTGAATCCTAATTGAATTAATTCTTGCTGGTGATGTTTTCAGTGGTTGGCCAGTGCCCCAGTTCCATCCAGTCAAAGAGATAGGTCAGAAGGTCAGCAAAGGGACCCTTTTCATCATGAGTTCATTCAAAAATGGTTAATGATTTATATTGTCAGTTTACTAAATAATTGGGTATTAAAACACACAAGGCCCTTGCACTCATCACACATGTAATTACTCGCGAAATGTCTCTCCTTCCAATTCTGCCCAATAAGCTTCATGAGAGCATGCATCTGCCTTTATTTCCCAGCTTCTGGAGTGGTAGCTAGCACATAGTGGCCTCTCAATAAAAACTTGGAAAATGAGTGAGTGAATGAATGAATGAATGAATGAATACAGAAAGTAGGGAATCAAGGGACCTCAGACACTTGGAGATATCTCTCACATGGCCTGGCCAGTAAAACATTTGCTGGCATAATCAACTGTCTACTTTATCTGGGGCTGAGGAATTTCCTTGGATGTGGGACTTTTCAGTGCGAAGACTGAGAACATCCCAGGCAAACCAAAACCAGTTGGTCACCCTATTTGTAGCCCTGCGAAGCAAAGGAGTTCCTCTGCCTCTCCCTCACCTCCCACCCTCTCTACCCATAATCTTCCGGGCTCATCTTTCCACTTCATCTTAAAAGGAAATGTTTCCAACCTTTTTATCGCTTCCTAAAATGGCAGGTTTTCAAGCCTGGAGAGCTATGTATTTGCACCATCAGAAATTTAAATCCTAGACCCTTCATTTCTAGGAAGAGTACAAGCTGCTGAAACCTGTTTTCAACCCTTTGCATTCATCTTTTTCGACTTCCTTTAGCTTCCTCATCTGTTTCCCCTTTGTCTGCCCCCGAGACTGTTCAAGCAGTGCATGGTGGGTACAGAACTCCTCGTCCTATGGAAGGTCTCCCCAAATCAAATCACTGCAGGGATGCCAGCTAGGAGGTGCAGAAGAAATAAGTACATGCAACAAAGTACAAACATTTGTGCATCTTGTCCTCTTATTTTTGAGACACCTTCAAACAACTCTTCCATTGCCTCTACCAAGCACTGTTTCTCTTCCACACTGAAATCTTGAGAGAGAAAAAGGGAAGATAAAGGTTTGGGGTATATATGGACATGCATCTGAACTGTCAGTGGGCTTTTGCTAGAGAGACTGAAATTTACTACTAATGTAAATCAGGAAAATTGTGAAAATGACCCAAAAAACTAATGGAGACCCCATACTGCAGTCATTTTGTTTGTTTGTTTGTTTGTTTTATGACTTGGGCTAATGGCGTAAGGCTCTGAGCTCTGGCCATAATTTCCGTTTTCTGATTTCTTGCCCAGTGTTCTCCATATTTGACATCAACATGATACAACATCTGTGTGTATATACATCATCAAACTATTTTCATGTTCATTTCTTTATTTAAATATTTCAACTGGAAATTTTTAAATAAGCATCTAGAACAAATCTGCACAAGGGAGCAGGTTTAAAGTTTTTCACTGATGTGGATTGGTTGGTCTAATAGTAAGGATTGTTGAATTTCGGGCATATTTCAACAATGTCTTTGTCACGGTATTAAAGGTAAATCGTGCTCTTTGTCACAGTATTAAAGGTAAATCGTGCTCTCAAGGCATTTTTATGGGTTCTTTTTAAGACATACACTCCCTGCCTATCACTAGGGTCCCTTGTCTGTGGTGTTTCTGGCAAGGGTAATGACAGGTCTTAGCTTTTGAAAATCAGATGGTTCACTTTCCCTTTGGCAGCCATCTTGCCCATAATGTTCTAGCAGGATCTAACATGGCCCCAAGGCTATTTCTTTCTCACAGCTCACTTCTGGCTTTCAGGAAACAGTCACAACATCTTCTGTTCTTACAGATAAACTCCTCTTTACTTCCCCATCTGAGCTTCTTTCCAGTCAAGTTTATCATAGAGTTAGGTTTCTGAAACTTGAACCAGAAACCAGTCCTTTGTATGTCCTAAGCACTGGGAGTCACAAATAAAGCTCAGCTCTTTTCTCAACCCCCTCACTAGGTGGGTGTACCCATCTCCTGGTTGCTGTGTTGATGGACAACTCACAGCTGTCCCTTATCCATCTACTGCCCTTCTGTGGACCAAGAGCTGCCTCACCTGACAGGTCACACCTCTCACACCCAAGTCAGCCAGTGGCCAATGACTGAAATGGGGCCCAAGAAGCCAGACCCCTTGCCTCAAGGTGGGACCACTCCTCGGCCCACTTCATACTCCAGAGCTCCCTGTGGGATCAGCCTGAGGCTCACCTCCAACTGAGTCCTCATCCTTGCTCAGCTTCTTCCCCGCCCCCCTGCTTCCCTCACTTCCCACCTCCTGAGAGCACACCCTCAACAAGCCACTTCGCAAGGATTCAAGCCTCAGGCTCTGTTTCTAGGGACTCTAACCTACCACGCATGGAAGCAAGTCAGGTGGGTGAAACTCACAGCACTTTGCAAAAACTTCTTATTTCCATCTGACTCTCTCCACCCTTCAGCCTTTCAGTGGTAAATGGCAGTGATGATGACAAGGGCATACAAACAGATTTTTAACCACTTTCTTGTTCAGTCCCACACAGCTGGGCAAGGGGAGGTGTTAGCATCTGTTTGCTTTGCTAGGGGCCAGGAATGGAATAGCTTCCTTTGACTTCCTGTTATCATATGTATAAATTTCCAAACACATGACAGGAGCCTGCTGAATGGTAGCTATTAGTCTGTATCTTTAAAATAAAGTATTGAGGACTCATTGCGTGCCACATGCTAGGTTCTCTTGTGAGCATTATATCGTTCTGTCCTCACAGTGACTCTTCAGGGGGACACAATCTGATTAACCCCATTTTATTGATCCTCATTTGTAAAACTTCATTCCTAAAACTCAGAAAACATTCAGCACCTAGGCCTATTTCCAAACCCAGGTTCTGCCTAATATTTATTCAACCTTTTCCTTATAGAGCCAGTCTCCCCCCTCCAACACCCCACTATTTGAAACTGCTCTCCCTTTTCCAATTTGGTGCTCCTGGCCTCAGTCCCCTGTGATTCAAGCAGCTCCTAATTTCTTCCTTGTTGACACTTTGATGTTTCTCCTTCCTTGGCATTCAGATCTGCGTGACTTCCGAAGAGGAGCAAGATGGCTTTATCAGAGTCCTCAGTGGAAAGAAGAGAGGCCTTGTCCCCCTGGATGTCCTAGAAAACATCTGATTGCTGGCCCCTCCTGCTTTGGCAGTGGCCGGGCTCTGCTGCGGTGCCTCATCTCACACTGTGTCCACGCAGAGGAGCTGCCACACTGACCCACCCTCCCCCCTGGGAAACAGTGAGACAAGACTCATGGGTCTGAGACTGGGGTATCAGCCACAGACAGAGGGTGCATCTCATAGCATTGCCAGGCTGCCCAAGGTGAGGGCGAGGCTGCCCAAAGTGGGGAGCTGAGTGTCACGCAGGCAGCGGCCGAGGCAGGGTGGCAGCCACAGCTGTCCCTGAGGACTCACCTAGTCCCCGTCCATGTGATTTAAGTTAGCCAGCTGGAGGGTGCTCCACCCTGCAGTGTGGGCCCAGTGCGAGGCTGGGATCCCCACAGCCGAGTGTGATTCTGGTTCCAGACATGTGTCCCCTGCACTGGCCCCTCCGCATCATCACATTTGCGGTCTCTCTGCAGAGCATCAGGAAGTCCTGATCCCCAGCTCCCAATATGCCAGGGCTCCCCGTAGCCCCCCTCACTTTGTGATTGCACTGTCTCTTCTGTCCTCCGATGGAGTCCTGGAGGTGCTGTGAGATGGGAGGGCTGAGCTAGTGGCACTAGCCACCCCGGAACCTGATCTGCCCAAAGGTGACCAATAGGCAGTCACTGCTGCTGTTCTGGTTACTGGCAGAGGTGACAGAGAAGGACACAAGGCACAGGTACAGAGAGCAAAGTGGGAGTAAGGTGGGGCAGAGAGCCCGATTTACTGTAGATTATGCAGCCCCTTCGGTTAGGAAAGCATTCTCTGCGGAGGTAAACCTGGGGAAGAGAATGGGGCAAAAAGTCTCAGCGATGAACCCATTTCATTTCATGTCCTTGGTACTAGGGGCAGCATTTTCCATCAGGCCATCCTGGAGGACCCCCTTTTGGAGGCTGAGCCCACCTTGCAAAGAACCAGAAACATGGAGGAGAACCGATATCATCTTGAGACAAGTAGCCAAATCAGAATCCATTCTTCTTTAGGGCAGTCTATTATACCCTAGCAGATGTAACATGGAGACGAATCCTTAGTGCTTCATCCCTCAGAAAGAGAGGAACTTGGGTCCTATCTAGCATCAGTAGGGGAGTCTCTCTTACTCTATACTTGTACTAATGTTTACAAGCATTCAGTATACTGTGATGCCTTCCCCCGCAAACCTCCTCCTAGCAGTCAAACTTGCATTACTTATTAATATGGTTAAACGTCAATTCACAATGACCTTGGAATCAATGTCTGCTCCATCTATTTTGTGACAGAGCAATAAAAGCTTTAGAACAATTGGTTTTTAAAAGACCTAAGTGGGTGTATCTTAAGCATGTAAGCATTATTTCCCACACCCTAGTATTCGTAGTCTCCACTTATTTCTTTTGTTACTGGTCAGCATGATGATGGGAACTGAGAGGGAGGAGCTGCTGGTTTCACAGCAGTCTGGATGCCTTACTATCATTTTAAAGCCAGCATCCAGAATTTCGTCCCTCTCTGAAACAACCTGAAAAACTAAGTGTACAGAGCCAAGATGGGTTCTCCGAGAGCCAGGGCGGATAGTATGACTGCCATTCTCTAAAATGTAATGCCAGAGGACAAACCCTCTCTGCCTCTAATTCAGTACTCCATTGAATAAAGACAACACAGTGGCTGGAAGGAGCATAGAAACCGTGTGTCCTGATCTCTTCTTTCTGGTGTGTATCCATGGAAGCCTTTGGGTACAGTGGTGTCAGATCCTAGACAAATTTAACTTGCAATAAAAAGTCAGTTTGCCTTTGGAAACTGAAAAGAAGGGGGCTTCTGTAGCCAGCCAGCAAGGTGGTCCCTGCATCCTAATAATGTCGCCTTTGTATAGCCCACTCCCACATTGAATCAGTACTGGTCTTATATGGCCAATAAGATACAGCAGAAGTCATACTGCATGACATCTGAGGCTAGGCCAAAGAAGTCCTTGCAGCTTCTGCTTGCTCTCTGGGAACACTCGCCCCTGGAACCCTGAGCCACCTACTCTGAGACCACCATGGGGGAGAGGTGGAATGGACAGACCACGTGTGTCTGCAGCTGGGATCCCGGACATCACAGAACAGCAGCCATCCCTGCTGGGCCTGCCCAAGTGATAACTTTGCAAACAAAATAAATATGATTTGGTGGTTTTTAAGTCATTAAGTTTTGGAGTGATTTGTTTTACAGAAACATGTCATGAACAGAGACTCATAATTTGAGCCAATGTTAGAAAGGAGGAAAAAACACACCTTCTGCACAATGAGGCCCAAAAGTTTAGACATACATCAAGTATTAGTGGATAATGAGCCCTCCCAATGCAAGATAGCTAGCATTCCTGAAAGATCTCAGGTCATGCAGATAGCAGAGACAAGGCTGGTCCTCAGTGTAGGTTGCTGCGGATATTCTCACACACACACACACACACACACACACACACACACACACACCCAGACTTGAGGACCCACAGCAGTTATTCTCCTCCTATCTGTCTGCAGAAATGACAAGAACAAGGACAGCCGTGACCTACCAAAGTCCTGAAGGCTTCCAAGACTCACGAAATGGCTGGGAGAAGATCCAGAGTTTGGGAATGGGGATGAGATGAAGGGGAGACAGATTCTAGAGAGGGGGCAGGGATGGAGAGGAAGTGCTAATATGAAGAAAAAAAAAGGAGGCCAGAGGGTATATTCTTCATAGTGTGAGAAAACAGCCTGATGCCCCCTCACCTCCTGCCCCTGCCTGCAGCTAAGGGAAGGCGCATATCTAACTGAACCAGGGAGGACACTGTTCTCTATGCCCCACCAACAGTGCTGTAGGACTTGGATTCTATCAAGATGGATTTGAAGTGAAGAACTGATTAAAGCTTCCTCAGGGTCTCAGGAGGTAAAGAATACAACTTGTTTTACCCCATCACTAGCAGACAACCAAGACACATTTAGTGTGGGCCATGGGGGGCAAAGAGAGCGCATGTGTAGATGTTCTGCTGACTGCTAGTAGGGTTGATTTCACAGAGCACCTTCCTCCTCACCTCTACACACCAAACACACATACACACACACTCCCGTTGAGAAGAAGAGTCCAGCATCTGGGTTATATTTTTAAAACAACCAGTGAGATGGTACATGGTAGGCGCTTATTAGAACTAATGTTCTTTTTATTAAAGGAAGAAAAATAAAATCAATGGGAAGATCACAGTACATGTAAACAGTCTGGTGCTGAATACTGTTAAAAGGTCAAAAAGCAGCATGAAGGTCCAAAAGCCAGTCCAGGTCACTGGTTACTCCAAGGAGAGGAGGGTCAGGAAGGAAACATACTGGTTGGCCTTAGCCTAGAACCAGGTCCAGCCAGCTATGAAAAAAAACTGTTGTGTGCTCAAATAGCTTAGATTTAAATAAAATAAACCAGGCTTCTTTACTCAGGACTTCCCATAGACTTTAATTTCTGAATTTTCACAGTAAATCTGTAAAAGGGGATTTATTTTTTTTAAGACTTTTATTTGTCAGAGACAGAGAAAGAGAGAGAGAGGCAGAGGGAGAAGCTGGCTCCCTGCTGAGCAAGAAGCCCAATGCAGGACTTGATCCTATGACCCTGGGAGAGTGACCTGAGCCAAAGGCAGATGCCTCACCGACTGAGCCACCCAGGCACCCAGGCATCCCTATAAAAGGGGATTTAGATCCATGGAACACCTATTAGGATTGACTATTCCAAGGCACATAGTTTGGAAAATGCGGTGGTAGAGAATTCTTATATAATATTGGATCCATCTAATACCTTCTCTCTCTTCCTATATCTCACTAAGATACCCAGGAAATACTGAAAAGGACAAAAGTGCATAATCATAGTAAAAATGGAGGCTGAAAGACAATCTACTCTGGAAGTATTTAAGGAGTAGGAGAAAGTGGGATCTGTGTCCCCAAAGGGTGAAAAGCTCAGGAAGAAGATCAGTTTTCTCATGCTCTAATGGCTTCAGCAAGTACTGACCAGCAGGGCGTAGGCTGGTATAAAACTGGGAGTAAAAGAAAGTTCAGCATTGCCCAAAATAGCCTCCCCGGGAAACCGAGTGAGCAGGTGTGTTCCACAGCTTTAACACAAAACAAAAATCCTTACTAACAACTTGGACAAAAAAAAAAAAATTAAAACTGGTTTAATGGTATCCTGAAAATGGTCTCTTAGATTTTGCTGAGTTGTTATTCTGTTGTGTGTTTTGTAGAACACTTGGTGTTTTTGACCCTTAGAACATGTGTTTTTTTCTTAGCTTCCAATAAAGAGTTTTAAATAGTCCTCAATCTTCCCTTGGGTAATAGAAATGTAATTAACTGCACCTCAAAACATGAACAAGATAATAGCAATTTACTTTATAGTTCCTTTTTAAAAATGAAAAAGTAGCAGACTTTTTTATCATCTCACCATCAAGTTTAAACAGCTGTTGAACATCTTTCCTGTTTTCATGCAAGTTAGGGTGTACTGAAATCCTGAAAATACACCCTGGGAAAGTACAATACCTATTTCCAAGAAAAATGGTGGAATCTCTTTAGATTTCCTCCACTGGCCTCATTTACTCAGGTTCTCAGGTTACACTAGACCCCATCTGTTTTTATCATGGCAGTATTTTTCTTTAACTTCTCCTTTTAAACAAGTTTCCTAAAAAGTGTTTGCTTAGTTTACTTTCATTCTTTATTAAGATTAAAAAAAAAAATCACCCAAGGTTATGACTTTTCCTCTGAGTTCAGGTTTGACCATATGAAAGTGTTCCCATTTTCATTCATTTCTAAATACTTTGTAATTAGAGTTTTGATTTTTTTTTTCTCTTAGATTTTTATTTAGTGTGTGTGTGATTAGTTATGCATTGTGATCAGAAAATATGATCCACAGGGTTTCTGCTTTGAGGAAATCAATTGGCATTTTGTGCTCTAATATATGAGTAATCTTTAGAAATGTCCAACGGATACTGGTAAAAAAGAGAAGTCACATGTGCAGTATATAAAGTTTAATATGTATCTACTAAATAAACACTTGAAGTGTTCAGGTCATCTGTGTTCTCATTTATGTTTACTAATATGCTCTCTCAAAGACAAGGAAGTCAAGAGCAAGCAACAGTAGACTGAAACAAGAGACATCTTGCAAAGACCTCCAGTTGCTCGTTTGGTGCCAGCCCTTGGAGGGAGGAAATGCTCTTCACCACAGCTTCCCCTTTTACACGTAGGTTGAGTCACTGAA